ATGCCTCTGAAGCAACAAAGAAAGTAGAGAAATTAATTCCAGATTTCATTGGTTCACTTTCTGTGAGTGTTTAAATTTTTAATCTTGTTTTACATTTTATGTATGGAGAACTTTGAATAGTCACGAAAGTGGACAGTAATATAGTGAGTCCTTATTCCCTATTGCTGAGCTTTACCAACCAGCCGCCCATGGGCCTCAACCACCCTTCATACGTCCCTTCTGTGTTAGTTTGATGCGGATCTCAGACAGTGTGCCATCTGTGAGGTATTTTCATTTTTAGGTAGAAAGGGTATTACAGTGAGTCCACTCATGGATCGGGGGCTGGATGGCTGGACCTTTAAAATGGGCAGGCATTGGGGGTGGTCTGGGCTTGGTGGGAGGGCCACTGCCAAGGTGAGTTATTTTGAATTTCTGCAGTTCTTAGTAGGATTTGATGAATGTTTCCTCCAAAGTGTAACACAGACTTTGTGTGTTGTCTCTGAAATTATTACTTAGCAGTCTGCCGTCTTCCAAAAAGATGTGGCGATAACATAAAAAATGTACATAAGATTTAAAAAGAGAGGAAGAAATCAGTGGAAAGAGTGAATGAGGGTCATCTTGTTGTATGAAGCCAATTACAGTGAATGTAAGACAAGCACAGTGCTTGTAATGGTGATCAAAGGTGTGCTGCTAGATTTTCTGGTGGCCATAGTCAACAGGAAACACAGTAAGTTTTATGTAATATTGTCCTCCAGATTTCTTAAGTATATCTTTTCATTATCACTAAAGAGAAATTTCCCCCACAGGATTTTCTAAAAGGGGTCGTTGAGGTGACTGTTGGTGGTAGTGGAGTAACTTGGTCTCTGAGCTGATAGCTCTCAGGGCAGTTTGGAGCACTGTTTTCACTTGTTTTAGAGGTTTGCAGATGTAATACCAGCAGTAACTATAATTTATTGAATACCTATTATGTATCAGGCATCCGGGTGTTTTTATTTCATTTAACCTTTAACATATTTGTTCCATATTTGTTTTTTTTTTGTTCCATATTTGTTTTTAACATGTTTGTTTTTTTTTTCCTCCTATTTTTCTTCTTTTTCAGGTGAAGAAATTGAAATCCAGAGAAAATCAGTAACTTGCTAAAGTTACTTTAAAATAAATCCTGGCATGTGTTTAGATCTTTGCTTAACTGGAAATGTGATCACATTGGAGAGGACAGGGTTGTGGGCTGTGGTTCCCGATGGGCGTTTATATTGATGATTGGTGTTCATGATTGCTGAGTTGTTATTTTCTTTGCACATTGCCAATTCTGGATTCTTTTAATGCAGAAAGAAAAGGAGCAGCAGGAAGAGAAAACTAGTTTATTCAGGAACACAGGGAAGAATGAAGATGGTGAAAGAAGAGCTATGATAACTCCTGCTCTCCGAGAAGCCCTTACTAAACAAGGTGAAAATCCTTGAAATTGTTGTTACCATCCTCTTAGGCGTTCTAATTTAATTCCTAAGAGATGAAGCATAAAATAGGCATTGCAAAGAGAAAAACGATAATGAAGTCTCTTCTCTAGTTAGCTCAGCAGTTGTGTTATAGTGGCAGATGTAACTGCCTAAAGATTCACCCTCTTGTTTCTGTAATCACTGTTTTAATTAGGGTAGACTATATTAAAGTGATTTGATTAATAGTATAGATTTAAATTTATCATCTTGCTATTTGTTTTCTACTTATCCATTTTTTGATTTCTTATTTCCTATTTTTCTGGTTTCTTTTAGATTTAATTTTTTTATGATTCTATTTTATATCTTTGTTGGCTTATTAGCTATGATACTTTTGTTATTTAGTGGTTGCTTGAGGTTTTACACTACACTTTCATCATCTCATAGTATATCTTTGGGTGGTATTATATACCACTTCATGTATAGTAGAACCTTACAATTGTATATTCCCATTTTTCCCTTCTTAACCTTTATGAATTATTATCATACGTTTTACTGTTATATATGTTATAAACCCTACACTACATTACTATTTAGGTTTAAACAGTCAATTATCTATTAAAGATTTACATAATTGGAATTGTGCATATTTATTCTAGTTGCCACGTTCCATGTTCCTCAGTCCTTCGTGTAAATCTGTGTTCCATCCGTCATCCTTTTCCTTCTGCCTGATGGACTTTTCAACATTGCTTACTGTAGTACGGGTTTGTTGGTGATGGTGTTCTTTAAGCTTTGTATATGTGAAAAGGCTTTATTTTGCCTTCACGTTTGAAGGATGTGTTTTGCTGGACATAGAATTGTAGGTTGACAGCTTTATTTTTTTCTTTCAGCACTTTAAAGATAATGCTCCACCGTCCTCTTGCTCACATTGGTTCTGATGAGAGCTCAGCAGTCGTCATCCTTTCGTCTGTTCCTTCAAATATAATCCGCCTACTACTTTTAAGATTTTCTCCTTATTACTGATTATGAGCAATTTAATTATCATGTACTCACTGTAGTTTTCATTTTTTGTTTTTAACCTGGTTTTGTTGAACTTCTTAGCTCTGTGGATTTACAGTTTTTATCAAATTTGAACAAATATTGGCCATTGTTTCTTCAACCGTTTTTCTGTCACTGCATGCGCCACCCTCCTCTGGCTTCCTTGTGGAATGCAATTACTTGTGTAGTAGGCTGCTTGAATTTGACTGACAGCTCACTGATGCACTATTCATTTTTTTTTTTTTTTTCTTTTTTGAGACAAGGTCTTGCTCTCTTGCCTGGGCCAGAGTACAGTGGTGTCATCATAGTTCATCACATCTTCAAACTCCTGGGCTCGAGTGGTCCTCCTGCCTTGGCCTCCCTAGTAGCTGGGACTACAGGCATGGGCTACCATACCCAGCTAATTCTTCTATTTTTTTGTAGAGACAGGGTCTCTTGCCCAGGCTGGTCCCAAACTCCTGGCCTCAAGTGGTTCTCCCACCTTGGTCTCCCAAAAGTGCTAGGATTACAGGCGTGAGCCACCGCACCTGGCCTGCACTATTCATTTTTAAAAATTCTTTCTTTTGTCCCACTGTTAATTTTGGATAGTTTCTATCATTATGTCTTTAAGTTCAGTAGTCTTTTGTTCTCTAATGTCTAGTCTTCCATTAATCCTATCCAGTGTATTTTTCAACTTAGACATTATAGTTTTCATTTCTACAAGTTCAGTTTGGGTCTTTTTATATCTTCTACATCTTTCAACTTTCTGAGCCTATAGTTATACAGAATACAGTTATAACTGTTTTAATGTCCTTATCTTCTAAGATCTATGTCATTTCTGAATCAATTTTGGTTGATGGATTATTTTCCTCATTGGTCATGTTTTCCTACTTGTTTGCATGTCTGGTAATCTTTGATTGGATGCCAGACCTAATTTTACCTTATTAGGTGCTGGATATTTTTGTGTAAACACTTTTATAAACATTTTTGAGCTTTTTGGGGGACAAAGGTAAATTACGTGGAAATAGTTTGAGCTTTGGGTCTCACTTTTATTACTTAGGTTAGGTTAGGTGAGACCAAAGCCAGCTCAGTATAGGGCAAATTACTCCTTACTATCGAGGCAAAACATTTCTGTGTGCTGTACCCAATGCCTTGTGCATCTTGAGGTTTCCAGTCTGATTGGTAGGAATAGGTCCAACTCCCAGCCTGCCGTGAGCACCAGGCATACCTCTAATCCTTTCAAATGGTTCTTTCCCATTTTGGGTAGTTTTTCTCTCACGTGTACACTGGTCAGTATTCAGGCAAATACTTGATAAGAATCCTCTGCAGAATTTTGAGTCTCTCTATGTAGCCTTCATCTCTCTGGTATTCAGTCCCGCGAACTCTAGCCACCTTTGTCTCCTCAGACTCAGCTTCATTTCCTCGACTCGGGGAATCCACTGGACTTTGCTCGGGTTGCCTCTCTTTTCTACGTGGCCTGGAAATTTTCCAGAAAGTAAGCTGGGGTAATGGCAGGGCTCACCTTGTTTGTTTCCCATCTCTCTGCAATCACTGTCCTTTGTTGCCTGATGTTTTGTGTTCTTAAAACTGTTGTTTCATAAATTTTGTCCATTTTTCGGTATTTTAGGTAGGTTAGTAAATCCTCTCTGTTATTCCATGTGGGCTAGAAGCAGAATTCTGCACTATGATTTTCAGCCATTGCATACTGTTGGCTTACCTTTGCATTGTGGTCAACCTTAGTTCTCCTTTGTTCTGTAATGTGCAGTTTTTTCCATACCTAAATGCAAAATTTTATGTATCTCAGGAGAAAAAGATATAAAGAATTAATATAATGTATGAACAACATAATATGGGAATCCAATAGAAGAACTAGAATTTTCTCTGGGAATCTTTTATATCCTTATTCTATATCAGAGATTAGTCAGTTCAGTTGGATTCAGTTCCATCTTCAAGTAGATAAGCAATGCTTTGTTTATTTATATGCAAGATGTTTACATAAATGTGGAAGAGGATAAAAGATAAAGCGCTATAAATATTGCCACTAGAGACTTGTAATGCACATTGACTTTGTTCCAGTAATCATCACACTGTGAATATAGATGTTTAACCAGCCTCTGATCCACTTATGCCGTCATCTAGACTGTATTTCTCCATTTGCCTCATTCACCTGCAAGACTCTTTGTGCAAGAGACTCATAATTGTGGCTTATTACTTGAAGCCTCATGTGAAACTTCACTGGATGCTTTCTGAAATCAGAATGTTCTACTTATTTATTTTACTAATTTGTTTAAAAAGGAAACGAGATTAGTTTGCCATGGCTTTTTTCATGCTTTTTATGTTTTATGTGACTCAGAACTTTTAAATGATAGGTTATGGAGGGGTACCGAGAAATTCACATTAGGTCTTAGTTCCTAGCATTTGATTTTTCCCCTTTTTGGGTTAACATTTGTTGGTTTTAATCTCTTGGTGCCCATCTGATTCTTCATCTTTTTACAAAGAGTACTGCTGATAATTCCCCAGTCATTCCTTTGAAATACATTGTTACTCTTGCTTTATTGCCTTGCATATGGTTTATTTCTATAAATGTTCCATAGGTCCTTAAAAAGAACGTATATTCTGTAGTTGTTCAGTGCAGTGCTCTGTGAATGTTCTTGGTCATGTTTATTTATTGTGTTGCTCAAATCTTTTAGAGCTTTACTGATTTCTGGCCTATAAGATCTGTTAGATACTGAGAAGTTAAAAATCTCCCTGTATGATTTTGGATGAACATAACTGTTTCTTTATGTATTTTGAGTCTATGTCATTAGACGTATGTACATTTTAAATTGTTTTCTCATCCTGTGGAATTAAACTTTTAATGTTTTCTGCTATGGGGTTGTTGACTGCCATAATTTAAGCAAAGAAAAATTACTTTGCTAAATTTTAATATCACCTTTTGATACAAGGCTTTGGGTCAGTTCATTTTTGTGTTTCCTGCTTTTCCATTCAGGTTATCAGTTGATTGGGAGCCACTCTGGGGTGAAGCTTTGCAGGTGGACAAAGGTATTTATTTGTTTTTATTCAAATGTTATTTCTATGACATGTAACTTTTATATGGCTATTGTATGCAGCCAATAAATTTACCATTTAAAGGCATAATTTAATAAAATGCACAGATTTTTGAATGAATTTTTTTAATGAGTTCAGCAAATTTTGATGGATGTAGAACCCATATCCACCAACCCCAATTAAGATATGAGCTGTTTTCCTCACCCTAGTGAATTTACTTGTTCCCGTTTCTAGTCCGTAACTCTGTCCCCCTATCCAATTATTATTACAATTGCTATCCCTGTCACTTAGTTTTGCCTTTCTAGAATTTCATATGAATGGAATCATATAATGTGCAGTCTTTTGCAAGTGGCTTCTTAAATTCAATATAATATTCCTGAGATGCATTCATGTTGTATCATGTACCAGTAATATATTCATTTATTGCTCGGTAGTATTCCATTGTATGAATACACCACAGTTTTTTGATCTTTTGATAGACATTTGGTCTGTTTTTAGTTTTTGGCTATTATGAATAAAACTGCTGTGAATATTCTTTTACAAGAATTTTTTATGAACATATATTTCAATTTTCCTTGGGTAAATACCTGGAGGTGGAATTGTTGGGTCATAGGCTAGGTATATATTTAACTTTATAGGCAATTCCCAAACTGTTTTCCATGTGGTTGTGCTATTTTATACTTGTATCAGCAATTTAGGAACGTTCTGTTGCTATACATTCTCACTATCATGTGGTATTGTCTTTTAATTTTAGCCATTCTAATGAGTGTGAAATAGTATCTCATTGTGGTTTTAATTTACATTTTGGTAGTGATTGTTAATGACTGAGGAACACCTTTTCATGTGCCTATTGGCCTTTCATACTTATAAAGTGTTCAAATCTTTTGTCCAAACTGGGTTGTTTGACTTTATTTTATTGATTTCTAGAAGTTCTTTATATATTGTTGATATGAATCTTTTGTCACATATGCATTGTGAATATTTCCTAGTTTATGGCTTCCCTTTTCATTTCCCTAATGGTATCTTTTGAAATTTTTAATTTAGTTATAGTCTAGCTTATTGGTTTTTTCCTTTATAGTTAGTGCTTTTTGTATTTTAAGAAATCTTTGCCAACCTCAAAGTCACAAAGATATTCTAGATTTTCTTCTAGAAGCTTCCTATGTAGTTTTAATGTGTACGTTTAGGTCTGTGATTCACCTTGAATTAATTTTTATGAATGGTGAGAGGTAAGGGTCAAGATTCATTCTTCTATCCCCAATATGGATATTCAGTTGTTTTGACATCATTTGTTGAAGACTTTTGTCAACCTAAATAACAAAACAGAGAGAGGCTAAGAGAAAATGATGTTTATTTGGGAATAGAGCATTGCAGTGGGAATATTCATGCCATAGTAAACTATATGTGTATTCAGGGAAGTTAAGGAAGACAAAAGTTTTGAAAGGAGAAAATGAGGATTACATAATTGTTTTGAAATAATTATCTTTGGCTACAAAGGTCAGTAACACAAGGGTGATGCCAGTCTGAGGTTAGGCAGTTGCTAGGCAGATGTCCTTGCAAAAATATAAGGTTTTGTATAAGATTGTGATGGCCTTTGTGCAAGGTTGTGGTTTTTGTAGAAGCTTTTTTGTTATCAGGCATACAGGTGTGAGAACCCTCTCTTCATGGGCTTCCCCAGCCCTCTTTGTCAGGGTTTTCTTAACATTAGTGACTCATTTTGATTCTGACAGCTTTCACATTTCCCTCTTTTAATCAAGATCTTTCTCCAAAAGCATCACCGATCAATCATCCTGTAAGTTATGTTTTGATGTCCCTTGATGCTGGGGTGGGCCTTTCCTGGTTGCTGGTCTTTTCCCATGTTGGAAGCAGTGATTGTCGAGTAGGAGTCAGTGTCAAAACCCTTTTAACCACATCTGAACAGAAAGGGAGGTTGGAAGGGAGTGACTCTCAGTCTAAGTCTACCTGGAGTCCATTATTAAGTTCTGAAAGTGCTGGGCCAGCATTATTTTGTTAGGAGTAGTATTTCTGCAAAAACTTAACAGGTAACAAATATAAAGTTTAAAGAGAGAAAATACAAAGTGAACTTAATAATAATGTGACAATTCCATTGAGCCATGAACCTAGGCTTACAGACAACCAACTGAATAAGTCAAATGACCATAGAGAGTTAGGTGAGACCTGTCGTAATCTGTTGCCTATTTTGTGTATATCGGCCTCCACTTTGTCAGAGGAATTTATTCAGGTACAACATGGAGTATTAGCATTGGCACAGACATTTTGTTATTTAACCAATGGATACTAAAGGATTTCTTAAGTTAGGGTCTGTTAAGTTATTAATACCAGCAGAAGCTATTGATTGTAAAATTTTAATCACATCATTCATTATCCTGCCAAGTGGAAAAGGTAGCATAAAAGGGGGTAAAAGTCTCATTGTGATGTGAAGTCTTGTTCCCTTGTCTTGGGAAAGGCTGTTTACAGTGTGAATACATCAACTTTTTCTCCTGGTTTGTAGTTAGAATATCTGACATTGGGACAGTTTGATGAACATTTTTTGTGGGGTCCATATATCAGGCATGAGGCTTGTTCCTTTAAATTCATCTTGTTTCAGCTTATAGGGCTTTAGGACCAGAGCAGCTTTTGTTTTGAGTTGGAGAGTTTTATAATTATTACCAAATATTGGAGGAAATTAGGAGAATTCAGAATCTAGTCTAGTCTACAGTTAGACAAAGACTTGACAGTGCACAGGGCTACAATCTAATAACAGGTGTATTATAGGTTTTGTTTTTGTTTTTAGAAATATAACTTTTTCTCTCTATATTGATCACATAGGAATCTCAGATTTAAAAATCTCTTAAGGCTAGGAAGCTAAACCAAGGCAGACTTTAGATTTTACTTATAGTCTGAAGGTTCTTGGGCCTGTCAGGAAGTGACAATTTTTACTTAGTCACTGGAAGACTGGGAACTCTTGAAGGCATGCATGAGACATTTCAATCAAAGCCTAGGTAATATAACCAGTGTTTCCAATTGTATCCTGCTTATAATTAGGGAGCAGATTTTTATTCAATTTACATAGATAAAAATAAGAGTACTCACAAAAGTTTCTGAATTTTAGAGGAATCATGTAGGGAGAAAAAGCAAATGCCTTTACCTTTGTTCACAGAAGTATACTTTACCAGATTGGTGTGAACTCTAGATAGCTTATGAGAGAAAAATTTCTTAAACCCAGTAAACAAAACATTTAAATAATGAACCAATAATGATTTAAATAAAAGTCAAAAGCATTATCTTTATCAATTACTTAATTTCTTTTTCTTTTTTGTTTTTTGAGACAGAGTCTTGCTCTGTCACCCTGGGTAGAGTGCAGTGCGTCATCATAGCTCACTGCAACCTTAACTCCTGGGTTTAAGTGATCTTC